CCAAGCGGGTCTCGAACCCTCGGGCTCAGGCAATCCACTCACCTCAGCCTCCCAAAGGCATGGGATTACAGGCTGAGCCACCGAGCCCAACTGGAATCCATGTTCTTGAAGGGAGACACGACAAATAAATGATGAAGAAACTAATTATAAATAAAAGGAAAACATCACAGTTGTGTTATTCACAGAATTAAAGTTTTTAAATGTGAACTGAAAGAATCTGTGGTAGCTAAATTAGCTTGGTTGCTCAGGGAAGGCCCCTACTGAGGAGGTGACATCTAAGCCAAGGTCTGAGTTACAAGAGCAAGCCAGCCTTGGGAAGAGCAGGTAGAAGAGCAGCCAGGTGGAAACAGCCAGGGTCAAGGCTGTGGGGTTGAAGTTTAGGGCCTTTGTAACATGGAAGGAAGAGCTGGGTGGCTGGGGCCGGTGGGTGAGGGAGAGGGGAGCAGGTGAACACAGGTGCCAGAGGCCAGATCAGACTAGGAAGCTAGGGTTGGGGCTTGGTAGGAAAGGGAACAATATGGTCTGCTGAGGATTTTCAAAGACCCTTCTGGCTGCTGAGTAGAGAACAGACTGTAGGTGGGCAAAAGAAGATGAAGGGAAAAGGAGGAAAGGTGAGGGTAGGTAACTACTGTGGTTCAGACAAGAGATAGCGGGGTTTTTTCCTTGGGCCGTAGAAATGGAGACACTGGACAGAGTTGGGGGAAGTTTGAAGGTAGAGTCCTCTTTTCTTTTTTTATTATTTTTGAGTTGGAGTCTCATGCTATCTCCCAGACTGGAGTGCAGTGGCCGTTCCCAGCCACCGCAGCTTTGACCTGCTGGGCTCCGGGGATCCTTCCGCCTCAGCCTTCCAAGTAGCTGGAACTACAGGCTCATGCTACCACGCCCGGCTAATTTTTTATTTATTGTAGAGATGAGGTCTCGCCAAGTTGCCCAGGCAGGTCTCAAACCCGCGGGCTCAGGCCATCCACTCACCTCAGCCTCCCAAAGCGTGGGATTACAGGCTGAGCCATCGAGCCCAGCTTAGAGTCCTCTCTTCTACGAATCAGCTTGTGCTTTGCATCCTGTTGTTATGTTTTAGAGTGGTTTATTTTCTTAAAGTATTCCTGCTTTTGTTTTTGCCATTTTAACCCAATGGTCATGTTCAGTGTCTACTCTGTGTGAGGTTCTGTGCTAAATATCGTATTAGGTATTAACATCTTAAAACCTTGTGTAGGTTTGTGGCCAGATATTTTGAATATGTTTTTATTGTCTTTCTGAGCCTCGTGTGGTTCTCCCCCACCCCCCAATAATGTTGTATGTTTTTGTTTCTGTTTTCCAGTTCAGTTATGATGGATTTTCTGGCCTATTAAGAAGCCATTCTGTTTGGGGCAAGAAGCCCCTGTTTGAGTCTCCTGTTGTCATGAAGGGCTCAGAACATGACCTGACTCTTGGTGCTAAGCCTTGTCAGGAAGCTTTTTTGCCTGCCTCTAGCCTTGTGTTTCCTGGAGTTTGATAGACCTTGTTTTAATATGTTTCTCTCATACTTGCATGCTGTGAGTTTTTGTTAAATAATTTCTGGAGTAAGCTTTCTCTGAATCCTCCCTCTTTCTAAGCCTTCTTCCCCCATCACTCTTGCTGATAGTCTTTCTCGCCTTCCTTTTCTTTATCTGTTCTTTCCTCTTCCCTGTCTCTTTCACCCTGAATTCCCTCTCTCTCTTCCTTCTTACTTCCTGAGTCTTTTTTCTCTTCGTGCTGCTCAATTTGGTCTCTATTTCTAGCAGCTTTCCTTCAGAATGTGGATCTGTGCTTCTGGAAGGGACTGTTTTCAGATTTTCATGGTCTTAGATGGCCACATCACTTAGTGACTTTAGGGATTTTTTTTTCAATAGCTTTAGGGGTACAAGTGGTTTTTGGTTGCATGAATGACTTGTATCATAAAGAAGTCTGGGCTTTCAGTGTACCCGATAAGTAATTTTTCATCTCTCACCCACTTTCTACGCCTTCTGAGTCTCCAATGTTCATTATACCAGGGTTCCTAACAGACCACACCCCTGGGCTGTGAAACACTATCAGTCTGTGGCCTGTTAGGAACCAGATTACACAACAGGAAGTGAGCAGGGGAAGCGAGCAGAGCTTTGCCTCCTGTCAGAGCAGGAGCAGCGTTAGATTCTCCTAAGAGCGTGAACCCTGAACCCTGTTGTGAACTGCACATGTAAGGGATCTAAGTTGCACACTCCTGAGGATCTAATCTAATGCCTGATGGTCCCCCCTCACTCCCCTTCTCTAGTCCGTGGAAAAATTGTCTTACACGAAACCAGTCCCTGACTCCAAAAAGGTTGGGGACTGCTGCATTATATTATTCTACATTCCTTTGCAGACTCATAACTTAGCTCCTACTTAAAGTGAGAACATGCAGTGTTTAGTTTTCCATTCCTGAGTTATTTCACGTAAGATTATGGCCTCCAGTTTTATCCAAGTTGCTGCAGACTTCAGGGATTTGTGTGTGTGTGTGTGTGTTGGAGTCCCATTCTGTCCCCCAGGCTGGAGTGCAGTGGCACACTCATGGCCCCCACATCTTTGACCTGCCTGGCTTAGGTGATCCTTCCGCCTCAGCCTTCCAAGTAGCTAGAACTACAGGCATGCACTACCACACCCGGCTAATGGTTTATTTCAGAGACGAGGTCTTGCCAAGTTGCCCAGGCTGGTCTCAAACCCCTGGACTCAGGCAATCCTCTTGCTTTGGCCTCCCAAAGTGCTGGGATTGGAGGCTTGAGCCACAGTGCCTGGCCTAGGAATGTTTACAGTCATCTTAAGCTCTCAACCTCAGAGGATTTTCAGTCTGTTGTTTGTTATAAATTCCACCAGGGGAGGCTACACATTTATTGGTGACTTTGGCGATCCTGCAGTGATACGGCCTGTAAGAATCTCCCCTCGTTTCCCACTACTTCTTCTGTTGGGAACTGCTCTGAGTGCCCTCTTGCAGTTGGGTCACCTCTGTCTGTATCTCATAACTCTGTCACCTAGTTTGTTTTTATTTTTACTTTATGGATGTCATTGTTCTTTCTTTTATTTTTCTGATACGTCTCTTGTTTTAAGAGTTTTGGGGAGTTAAAAATACAATACCGTGACCCTGATCTCATCGTATTCTTAGTGTTTTCACTACAAAAAGTAAGATTCAGAGAAGTGAAGTGAGTTGTTCGTGGACATCTAGATGGCAGGAGGAGAAACATGGATTGAAATGCTGATTTATTCAGAAATCTCATCCTGAAGCTCACCCACCTAAAACTGGGGGCTGTTTCCTCCTTAGCATTTGGCATCATATTCTCATTTAAGTGGCTGCCCAGAAGTTGTTTAAATATTGAGTGGCTCTCAGGTGTACTTTTTGCACTTTCAGGAGTCCTGAGGGCCCGTATAGAACCTGTGGGTGGAATTGTTTTCAGCATGCTGGGCTCTCTGTGTGCACCTTGTCTTGCTTTTGCCCCACAGGGGCACTAAGCACAGTCTACAGAACACCCAGCCCAGCCTCACTGTGAGTGTGATTCACCAGCTGCGATAGGGATCTGAAGGATATACACTCACTAAAATGCGTTTGCTCTTGAGTCCATAGGTCCCACCTCTCCAGGAACAAGATGGTTCATGTGATAGGATCAGAAAGCTACAAGGTCAGGAATCCATCTTGGGCCAAGGGATCCTTGATGTGAGACCTCTTCTTAAAGCATCTGGGCAAAGGCAGAAGAGTCACAGGACAGAGAAAGTCCTAGAGTGGCTGTTTATTTCCCCAGAGCATCCGAAAATCACCAAGTCCTGGGTGAGTTTCTTGTTTGTTTATTCTCACTTATTTTCTTTCTTTCTTCTTTTTTTTGGGGGAGGGGTGGGTAGAGAGATAGAGATCAAAGGGCTAAGTTAATCGTTCCTCTGTTCATAGCTTGTTTTCATCATTGCTTCATGTAGGGTCCCTATCTACCTTTATTTATAAATTCTCTTATTTCACCACACTTGATTTCCTTCTCCTCCACCCCCAAGATCATTTTTTTGTTTTGCATACACACACACATATACACACATATGTATATTTAAAATATATGCTTACAAAATATATATTGTTCTGGAAGCTTGTTAGAAGCGCAGAATTTACCTCAATTCTCTTAATACCAGACTCTTCGTTGAACAAGATTCAGTGATTCATGCACATTAAAGCTTAAAACTAACTTGATACAAAGTCCATATTCAATTTTTTACTGGGGTGCTTCTTTTTTTTCTTTTTAAATTGAACGTAGAGTGCAAGGGAAAGTGACAAATCAAAAATGATTTCAAGTTTTTTTTACTAAGAGGAAGAAAACCATTGAGGACTTGGAGGAGGAAATCGGAATTTCATTTTTGAATATGTTGTACATGAGATAACTACGAGATATGCCAATGAAGAAGTTGACCACGCACTTTGTTATATGGGCCTGATGAGCCCAGAGTTCAAGGAGAGAATTAGGCTACAGAATTAACTTGGGTCTTGTCAGCATATAGATGACAATTCAAGTTGAAAGACTGGATAGGATTCTCGAGAAAGTGAGTGAAGAGAAAACCAAATGGCTGAGGTCAGGAAAACAAAGGAACTTTCAGGACAGTATAGACTTCTGAAGATAGTGTGTCAAGAGGAGGGGGTGATCAATTCTGTCAAAGGCAACTGACAGATCAATTAAGTTTAGGACTTAGAATTCAGTTAAGAGATAGTAAATTGCTATAAATTGTTACTTTGATCAGAGCAATTTTGGTGGACTGGGGGTGTAAAAGCCTAGTAGATTTAAGAAGAAGAATTGGAGGGGTGGAATTGAAAACAATGAGTAGAGGTGTTTTCAGGGAATCTTGCTGTAAAAAAGAGGAGAGAATTTGGGTTAAGAGCTGGAGGAGAAAGTGAGATCAATAAAAGTGTTTGTTTGCTTTTTTATTTCAGTAGCTTTGGGAGTACAAATAGTTTTGGTGTGGGCTTAAATGTACCCACCACCCCCACCTGTGCACATTTGTACCTGTTAGGTGACTTTTTTTGTTCTTCTACCCCTTTCCCGCCACCCTCTTACGAGTTTCCAATGTCCATTAAACTATTGTTTATGTCTTCACATATCTTTAGTTTAGCTCCCACTTATAAGTGAGAATATGATTTTCTGTTCCTGAGTTAGTTCCTTAGAATGATCCTCAAAGTTACTGCAAAAGACATTGTTTCATTCTTTTGATAGCTGAATAGCATTCCATAGTGTACATGTACTACTTTTGCCCGGGCTGGTCTCTAACCCACAAGCTCACGCAATTCACTTGCCTCGGTCTCCCAAAGTGCTGGGATTACTGGCTGAGCCACTGAGCCCAGCCAATGCTTTTGATGAACAGATATTTCTAACTTTTACTGACTCTGGGCTATGATTTTTTTCTTTTATTGCCAATGATTTTTGTGTCCAATTTAGTAACTTATCTTAAGCTCATAAAGATTTTTTTTTTTTTGAGTTGGAGTCTCATTTTGTTGCCCAGGCTGGAGTATATGCAGTGGCACGCTCATGCCATCCCAGCATAGACCTGCTAGGCTCCGCATTCCTTCCGCCTCAGTCTTCCAAGTAGCTAGAACTATAGGCGCGTGCTACCTCACCTGGCTAAATTTTTGATTTTGTTGTAGAGACAAAGTCTCGCCAAATTGCCCGAGCTGGTCTGGAACCAGCAGGCCCAGGCAATCCACTTGCCTCGGCCTCCCAGAGTGCTGGGATTACAGGCTGAGCCGCTGAGCTTGGCCCATAAAGATATTTTCTTTTGTTATTTTGTTATTTTACCTTTCACTTTTAGATTTACCATACACTGGGTGTGAATAGTGCTACCTTTCTCACATACCAGGTATACAGGTTTTATCTCATAATTCACTGTTCTGTTCCATTGATCTACTTTTCTGGCCTTATGCCAGTACCATACTATATTTACTTATAGCAAGTCTTGGCATCCAGTTGCTTGTGGCTTTTGGCTATTGTGAATGCTGTCTACATTTGTGTATATGTTTTTGTGTGGACATGTTTTCAAATTGGGTAAAGAACCAGGAGCATTTCTGCTGGATTGTATGGTAGCACCATGTTTATAAGAAACTATGGACCAGGCACGGTGGCTCAGCCTGTAATCCCAGCTCTTTGGGAGGTGGAGGTGAGAGGATTGCCTGAGCCCTGGGGATTCGAGACCAGCCTGGGCAACTTGGTGACACCTTGTGTCTACAATAAATCACAAAAACTAGCTGGGCATGGTGATGTGCATCTGTAGCCCAGCTGAGGCGGAAGGATCAGTTGCCTAGGCCCAGTAGGTCAAGGCTGCGGTGGCGGTGAATGTGCCACTGCACTCCAGCCTGGGTGACAAGAACAAGACTCCAACTCAAAAACAAAAAAAAAGAAACTGTAAGTTGCCATATCATTTTGCATTCCAGCCAGCAGTGAGTGAGAGTCCCTGTTGCTCTGCATCTTTGCCAGTGCTTGGTTTTTTTTTTTTTAAATTTTGCCATCCTAATAAATATGTAGCAGTATTTCATTGTGTATTTGAATTAATTTTTATCTAGGGTATGGGATATATGTTGAGGTTCGTTTTTTGTTGGTGTATTAATTTACAAGTATTCCAGCACCATTTATTTAAAAAATAGTCCTTTCTCCATTGAATTGTCTTTGTAAAAAATCAAGAAACAGTGTTTGTGTGCGTCTTTTTCTTTGTTCTCTGTCCTGTTATTTTGATCGATGTGTCTAATCTTTCATCAATACCATATTGTCTTGATTCTATAGTAAGTGATAAAATTGACAAGTGAGAGTTCTCTACCTTTGTTTTTCTTTGGAGTTGTTTTAACAATTCTAGCTTCTTTGCCTTTCCATATAAATTATAGAAAACCTTATAAATTGCTACAAAAAAATTCACTGGGATCTTTATTGGAATAGGTCAAATTGGAAAGAATTTACATCTTAATAATGGGAGTTTTCCAATTCATAAACATAGGGTATCTCCCCATTACATAGATATTTGATTTTTAAAAAAATCAGTGTTTGTAGTTTTAAGCATATAGATCCTGCACATAGTTTTTTAGATTTAAACTCTGTTTTGTTGTTGCTATTATAAGCAGTATTGGCTTGTTAATTTCAAAATTTAATTATTTATTGCTGCTGTATAGGCATATAGCTGACTCTTTCTTTTCTTTTTTTTTTTTTGAGTTGGAGTCTCACTCTGTTGCCCAGGCTGGAGTGCGGTGGTACGCTCATGGCCGATGCAGCCTCAACCTGCTGGGCTCAGGTGATCCTTCCGCCTTAGCCTTCGAAGTAGCTGGAATTACAGGCACTCACTACCATACCTGGCTAATTTTGGGATTTATTGTAGAGATGAAGTCTTGCTGAGTTGCCTGGGCTTGTCTCAAACCCATGGACTCAGGCAATACTCTCACCTTGGCCTTCCCAAGTGCTAGGATTATAGGCATGAGCCACTGCACCTGGCTCACTGCACTCTTGTATATTGATCTTATATCCTGTGACCTTGCTACACTCACTTGTTAGTTATCAGAACTTTTTTTTTCTATTGTGCAGATGAGTTCTCACCATTTTACCCGGACTGGTCTCGAACCTGTGGGCTCAGGCAATCATCTCACCTCGGCCTCCCAAAGTGCTGGGATTACCAGACTTGAGCCACTGCACCCAGCCAAGAGCTTTTTTCTTTTTTTAAAGAATCTTTGGAATATTCTTCATAAACAATTGTCATCTTCATGTCATCTTAGTTAATCTCATTGGCATCCTCGGTTTCCTTCTTACCCTCTTGGTAATTAAAAGAAGAAAAGAAAATGTTTTATTTCTTTTTTCTAATCTATATGCCTTTAACTATAAATTTCATTTCTTTAATATACAGATTGGCCAGGCTTGGTGGCTCTGCCTGTAATCCCAGCACTTTGGGAGGCTGAGGCAAGTGGATTGCCTGAGCCCACAGATTTGAGATCAGGCCAGGCAACTTGGAGAGACCTCATCTCTACAATTAAAAAAAAAAAAATTAGCTGGGCATGGTAGTGTGTGCCTATAGTTCTGGCTACTTGGAAGGCTGAGGTGGAAGAATTGCGGGAGCCCAGCAGGTTGACACTGGGATGTTTGTGAGTGTGGCACTGCACTCCAGCCTGGAAGACTGAGACTCCAACTAAAAAAAAAATTTATATATATAAAGACTGAGACTCCAACTAAAAAAAAAATTTATATATATATATATATATATATATATATAGAGAGAGAGAGAGAGAGAGAGAGAGAGAGAGAAGAAGAAAGTAAGTTATCAAGGTTATCCTGAGTGAGTTTGGTAATTTATGTCTTGTAAGGAATATGTCTGTTTTATCTAAGTTCGAATTTATATGCATAGAGTTGTTTGTCTTTTCATGTCTGTGGGATCAATACTGTTACCCTTTCTTTGATTTTATTTTTTTTTTGAGTTGGAGTCTCTCTGTGTCGCCCAAACTAGAGTACAGTGGCACACTCTTGGCTACCACAGCCTCACCCTGCTGGGCTCAGGCGATCCTTCTGCCTCAGCCTTCCATGTAGCCGGAACTACAGACACTCATTTTTGATTTATTGTAGAGATGAGGTCTCACCAAGTTGCCTGGGCGGGTCTCGAACCCGCAGGCTCAGGCAATCCACTCGCCTCAGCTTCCCAAAGTGCTAGTATTACAGGCTAAGCTACCAGGCCCGGCCTCTTTGATTTCTGATACTTAAAATTTCTTTTTTTTTTTTGCTTAGCAAGAGTTTTTATTTTATTTGTATAAATAACTAGGAGCACAACTGTTAGATTGTATGGTAAAACTATGTTTATATTTGTAAGAAACTACCAAACTGCCTTCCAAAGTGACTCTATGACTTTATGTTCCCACCAACAATAAATAAGAGTTCTATTGCTGCATAGTCTCTCCTGTCAGTTTTCTGGACTTTATCCATGCTACTAGGTGTGTAGTGGTGTGTCATTTGTAATTCCCTAATGACATATGATGTTTAACATGCTTTATATGCTCATTTGCTATCTTCGTGTTCAGGACTTTGTTCCACAGACTGGCTGCTACTTAAAATTGTTGCCTTTGTAGTCTACCAAGTTCTAATATGTGGTGGTCATTTCTGGTGGTCACTTCTGTAGTACCCTTTCACAGTAGTACCCTTTCACAGACTCCACCTGACACTGTCAAATAGCATTGCTTGCTTCCTTTTTGCCCATGCTTTAGTCTGTGTTCTTTTATCCAAGCTTTGACTTCGAGTTGCATTTGCGTGCTTACTTTCCTTCCCTCTCAATGCTGAATACTTTTGAGGAAAGAACAATATTTCATACATTTCATTTACTTGTACCTAGTTGAATTCCTGGCACCTAGAAGTCAGTAACTATATGTAGGTTTTGGGTGATCAACTGAGCCTTTTTGCCTGTGATTGTCCTGTTTTTAGCACTGAATATCCCATATCCAGGGAGCCCTGCACAGATGGTCTGTAGGAAGCTTAAAATTTTAAAGAGATACTCTCTCATTTGTGTATGTTGGATGAAAGAGTGAATGACTTAATGCACATTGATGGATGTTTTCAATACAGTTTTTTTCTCACAGAGTTAAATGTAAATAATGGACATCCTGAGCAGTCTGTTGTTTTCTACAATTGTAGTACAATAACTTGAGATTGGATGGGAATATTCTATTTCAGGGTTCATTGTCATTCATGGATGTGTTTGTTGATTTTACCTGGGAGGAGTGGCAGCTGCTAGACCCAACTCAGAAGCACCTGTACAGGAGTGTGATGCTGGAGAACTATAGTAACCTGGTGTCCCTGGGTAAGTACTGCCTCCCTGGGGAGAAGTATGCTTAATCTCCAGGCTTCTCTTCCTTGGTTGCTGAAACCTGGGAGGGGTTGGGGGTTGGATTCTGTGAAATAATTAGTGATTTTGGACTTACAGTTTAAGGCTGGAACTTTCTTAGTCCCTCACTGGGCATCAGAGTTTGCCAATTGAGTGGTCTTTACTTTGCTAAAGAACAAAAGGGCAGCTTCATCTTACCACCTCTAAACCATATCTACCCCATTTTTCAGAATCCTTGAATCCCAAACAGTTTTAGTCTAGGTTGTCTGATTTTTCTATTTATAGGTTATCAGCACACCAAACCTGATGTCATCTTCAAGTTAGAACAAGAAGAGCTGTGTGTGGTACAGTCCAAAACTCCAAGTCAGGGCCATCCTGGTGAGTGATAGAGACATTTTGATCTTTTCCTCCTTATTCAGAATTGGTATGAATTCTCATGTGACGTGCCCCTCTTATTTGCACTTTCTTTGGTCTCGTTTATTACCATGCACTCTTGCGTAATCTTCTTGTTGACATCCTCAATTTCCTTCTTACTCTCTCATTTCATTATGCATTGCAGCAAGCTTTTCTTCTCTCCTTCACTTGTGACTTTCATGCCTCTTCTGCTTCCTATTTTTAAAAATTTATATTGTTAAATTCCCCAGCAATTAAACTTGACAACCATAGTCCCAGCTTCCTTCTCTTTGAAACCTACTGGCAGATTCTTCCCCTTCCATGCTTCTCCATGCTAATGGCTTTAACATCATCACTCTGTCTCTTAACACATTCCCTTGTCATTTGTTACATTTATGTGACCCTGTTTGACGCTTTCACCCCTCTCCCTTACTTTAGTGACCCCTATTGACCCTGTTCTCCAACTACATGACCAAGCACTTATTTCCCTTACATTCTCCCTAGCATCTCTTGCTTTTCAGAGTCCAAGGAGTCTTTTTTTTTTTTTTTTTTTGAGTTAGCATTCCACTCTGTCATCTAGGCTGAGTGCAGTGGCACAATCATAGCTTACTACAGCCTCAAACTCCTGGGTTCTAGTGATCCTCTTGCCTCAATTCCCTGAGTAGCTGGGTCTACAGGCATGCACCAACATACCTGGGCAATTTTTGAAAATTTTTTTGTAGAGATGAGGTCTTACTGTGTGGCCTAGGCTGGTCTCAAACTCCTGGGCTCAAACAGACCTCCCCCTTGACTCCCAAAGTGCTGGGATTACAGGTATGAGCCACTGTGCTTGGCCTTATATTCTTTATTTTCATTGTATATTGTAACTTTTTTTTTTTTTTGAGTTGGAGTCTCACTCTCACCCAGGCTGGAACGCAGTGGCATGCTCGTGGCCACCACAGCCTCGACCTGCTGGACTCAGGCAATTCTTCCTCTTCAGCCTTCCAAGTAGCTGGAACTACAAGTGTGTGGCACCATACCCAGCTAATTTTTTTGATTTATTGTAGAGACGAGGTCTTGCCAAGTTGCCCAGGCTGGTCTTGAACCCCTGGGCTCTGGCAATCCTCTTACCTCGGCCTCCCAAAGTGCTGGGATTATAGGCTGAGCCACCGGGCCCAGCCATATATTGTAACTTTTAAATGACTTAGCAAGGCCTGGTGGTATGTGCCTGTAGGTCCAGCTACTCTGGAAGCTGAGGCGGGAGGATTGCTTGAGTTTAAGAGGTCCAGGATGCAGTGAGCTATGATGGGACCTCTATACTCCAATCTGGACAACAGAGTGAGATCCCATCTCAAAAACAAAAACAAAAAAACTTCTGTCTTAGTCCATTTATGCTGCTATAACAAATTGCCACAGACTGGGTTATTTGTAATACATAGAAACTTATTTTTACAGTTCTGGAGGCTGAGAAATATAAGACCAAGGTGCTGGCAGATTTGGTGTTTGGTGAGGTCCTGGTCTTCTAAGATGACACCTTGTTGCTGCGTCCTCCAGAGTGAGGAATACTGTGGAACAGAAGGAGGAGCACAAAGGATTTAAGATAGTTCCCTTTGGCCCTTTGAGAAGTCACTAATCCATTTATGAGGTTATCACTTATCATTTCCTACAAGGTCCCATCTCCTAATACTACCACTATGAGGATTAGGTTTTAACATGAATTTTGGAGAGGACACATTCAAACCATAGCACCTTCCATTCTGCAGATTTAAACTCTCTGTTTTTCTGCTGGTAATTGACTGCCACATTAATCTTTCATCTGCCCTTTGGTCCTGGTTTTGACTGATTCACCAGTCAAACTTGTGCTACTGCTTCCTTGTGCTACTACTCCATGGTCTCATTTTCAGAAACTGGAATCATATCTTCCACTGTTCGTAACCGCATACTACCTTCTCACCTTCCTATTCATGGTTTGCACTACTGTTTCTAGTTTTTTTTCCTGGCAGTAGGGAGTCAGCTTGAATATTCTTTCTGTGCAGATCTTGTACTAGTCTTGGTATAGTCTGTTAATATTTTGGTCCTTTAAAGAGAGGTCTTTTTTGGTTTTTTTTGAGTTGGAGTCTCTGTTGCCCAGGCTGAAGTGCAGTGGCACACACAGCCACCACAGCCTCGACCTGCTGGGCTTAGGCAATCCTTCCACCTCAGCCTTCCAAGTAGCTGGAACTACAGACTCACCCCACCATTCCCAGCTTATTATTTTTTGATTTATTGTAGAGACAAGGTCTCATCAAGTTGCCCAGGCTGGTCTTGAACCCCTGGGCTCAGTCAGTACTCTCGCCTCTGTCTCCCAAAGTGCTGGGATTATAGGTGGAGCCTCTGTGCCTGGCCAAGAGGCCGTTTTTAATTTTTTTTTTTTTGAGTCAGGGTCTCACTCTCACTCAGGCTGGAGTGCAGTGGCATGATCATGACCTCCTGGGCTCAGGTGATTCTTCCACTTCAGCTTCCCGAGTAGCTGGGATCACAGACACACACCACCACACCCGGCTATGTTTTTATTTTTTTAATGTAGAGATGAGATCTCACTATGTTTCCTAGGCTGGTCTTGAACGCTTGGGCTCAAGCAGTCTGCCCACCTCAGCCTCCCGAAGTGCTGGGATTATAGGTGTGAGCCACTGCGCCCAGCTGGTTTTTCAGTTTTTATGACAGGGTCTTGCCTTATTTCCCAGGCTGGAGTCCAGTGGTGCGATCTTGACTCACCACAGCCTCAAAATTCCGGATTCAAGTGATCCTCCGACTTCAGCCTACTGATGAGTGGGGACTACACCATGCTTTTTTTTTTTTTTTTTTTTTAAATCAAAAGATCTTTTAAAGCCCTTCTCAATTCCCAGCCAAAATGAGGCCAGTATTATGGCTGTATTACTCTACTTATTAGCCACATCTGTTCATTTTACTTTTTATACTGATTCGTCTTGGATGTTGCTGTCAGATATGCTTCCCTGAGCACTCCATTCTGTCACTAGCTTGATCTAATAAATCAACAGTGCTTATATTTGTTTCAGCTGAAATTTTTGATGAATCCTAAACCAACCATTTTAAGCCTACGTAATTTATTACTATACATCACAAAGAATCTGGAAGTGGGGAAAACTCCCAGATCAGCTAAGTGATTGACTTACCAAATCACCATGAGCCCATTTAGGTATCTCAGCATTTTGCTCAGATTACCTCCCTTAATTGTCCTCAGATGGCTGTTCTAGTTCTAGCCAACACATTCAGATATACCAGTGGCCACTAGAATAAGAAGGGCTTTTTCTTCCCACATGACTTTATCAGTCTGTAAATTCTTTCCAGGAAATTTCTAGCAGACTAATCACGTCCAACAGCGTAGATTTTTATCGCATGCCCATGTTTAAAAGACTCTGGTAGACAGAAATGGGACTATCACTATGGGCTCAGATAAATTATGCTTCACCTGCTAGAGGTGGGGTTAGACATGGAAGTGAAATCTCACTTTCCCTGACTGAGACACACCTCCTTAAGGGTGGGTATGGGAAAAAACCAACTCTCTGCCAACTGGTAACAGGGCAGAAAAACCACTGAGTAGGCAGCACTGACTGCCTTCTCTTCTTTCCATGACTGAGTGGCACCCGTCACAACTTTCTTCCAGGCCATCCATCTTCAGATATATGCTAATCCCTCTCCCCCTTTTTTTTGGGTCAGGGATTTACTCTGCTGCCCAAGCTGGAGTGCAGTGGCCACGATCATGTGGAGGCCACAGCCTCCACCTCCTGGGCTTTAGCAGTCCTCCTGCGTCAGCCTTCTGAGTAACTGGGACTATAGGCATACACCACCTACCCAGCTAATTTTTTAGTTTTATTTTTGTAGAGCTACCTTGCTGTGTTTTATAGGCTAGTCTCAAACTCCTGGGCTTGAGTGATCCTCCTCCCTCCATCTCCCAAAGTGCTGGGATTGAAGGTGTGAGTCCCCACACCTGGCTGCAACCCTTTTTTTTATTCCTGTACTGCATTAATGCAGGTCTGTGTTCCTGTTCCCATTCAGACCTGGTAGTAGTTATTTATCACCTGGAGACCTGTAATTCAAGATAGGTTATCCACATAAAGCCATCCAAAAGGGCAACATCAAGGAACACACATAGTAGCCACTGGTTTACACTAGTGAAACCTGATCAGGCAAGTTTTGCCATGACTTCTTTCTATGGCAGTGAAGTAAGCTACCTGGTGAACCTTTCCTTTTGCAGAGTATAATTTCCTTTCTGACATCTTTTTTAGTTAAGCTCAAGATGGTTTTAGGGGAGAATGTTGTTTTCTTCAGCTTCAGTATTTCAAGGCTGTTGGTGCATGTTTGGATGCCCAGTGATTGCCTTTGAACCATAGCAAGTAATCATGTTTAATATGGTCTTTAATCATTTAAAAATAACCTTTCCCTGGGTGCAGTGGCTCTTGTCTCTAATCCCAGCACTTTGGGAGGCAGAGTAGGGAGTATTGCTTGAACCCAGGAGTTCAAGACCAGCCTGGGCAACATAGTAAGACCTCATCACTACAAAAAAAAAAAAAAAATTAGCCATACATGGTGGCATGCACCTGTAGTCCTAGCAACTCAGGAGGCTGAGGCAGAAAGATCACTGGAGCTCAGGAGGTCAAGGCTGCGGTAAGCATGATTATGCCACCACCTTCCAGCTTAGCGACAGAATGAGACTCCCAACTCTAAAAAATAAAATAAAAAATAATATTTAAGCTTAAGAATATCTGTCTTCTAGTTACAGGGTTTGGTATTGTCTCCTGATTTCTTGAATTCTTTGAACTCTCCCTTGAGGTACCAAACACTTTTGCTGTTATTATTGCATAAAGTCTGCTCAATAGAAGATGCATTAGATATCCTGGGAAATAAGTGATGGAAGCTTGAGATAGGAGAGGTATGATATCAGCAACAGAAGGATTAGAAGAAAAAGTATGGGATTTGTTGGTTAAGATAACTTCAGCAATCATAAACTATAAAAGACTATAGGGATAATAATGGCAGCCAAACACAGGAGCAAATCTGATTCTAGGACAAAGGTATAATTACTCACTGGCCTAGTTTCTTTTTGATGTAAATATTTTTTACTATAGGAACAAGTATAGCCAGGAACACTCCCTCCCAGGCCATTGTGTATCTGTATTTATTTCTTAATGCAGCCTGTGAAGATACTGCCCCAGTTGGAATTGATGTTTGGGGGATATAATTTGGTGGTTGTGTATAAAATGAATAAACAGGGATCAGATAGGTAGGAAAACTACTTGAAATTTTTTCACATTAAACCTGGAATGAGATTTTAAGAACCACTGATCTGTTGTCTCTAAACCCAACTTGCTGCTGTGTTTTCTTAGTATCCTTATCTGTTCATTACCCTGGTCAGCATATTAGTTAGGGCATCTAGAGAGACTCTACCTATTCTTTTTTCTCAGCCACCAGACATTTGTAGTTGTGCCTGAGGATTTAATCCTGTGTGTCTTCTTTTCTGTCTACTTTGTATCTTTGACTTTTTGTTTCTTTTTATGTTAAAAGAGGTCTGCCTATCCTGTGCCCTGAGTTTTCCATGCCTTTTAAAGACAATCTCTGTCATCTCTTTTAACTCTTACATTATTTGCCTTCATATTTCTAAATAATCAAGCTTATTCTACTATACCCTGAATTTTTTCTAATGATTATTATAGAAGGATAATTTAATTCTCTTTTACTCTTCTTTCTTACCTCCCCATCATATGTACAGTGTCTCTTCCCATGCTCCCATTATCCTAATAGTTACATTTTTAGTAATATTAGTTGTCCATTTTTCTTATTATGACTGTAATTTCTATTTACTGGTGAGTCATGCAAGTATAAAATGATTAGTTTTTGTTTATACTTTTTATTTTTTTGTAGTTAATTATATTTGCTTGTTTTCTGTTATCATCGATGTGTTTATTATAAATTTAGCCTCAGTCTCTGCTTTTAGTGTCTAAAAACTTTTGGTTGATACATTCAGCCAAATTGTTAATTCTGTTCCTTTCATCTTCCTGGTGACATTACTCTCAGGACTTTCTGACTTGCTCCAGTGAAACCTGGTTTTTCTCATGGCTTGCTATACAATTTTTGTCCTGGAATCTTCTTTTTTATTTAATTTCTATATCCTTTGTTGTCTCTTTTCTTGGTTAGTTTTGTTGGAACACTTCTTCAGTAGCTTCCTGTAAAAGGGTATATGAGGTATAAATGTTGAAATCTGTGCATCTGAAAATGTTTTTACTTTACTCTCATTGTTCTATTTTCTATCCTCTAGTGTTCCTAATAAGAAGAACAATACTATTCTAAGTTTTGCTCTATAGTATGCTTTTTTTTTTTTTTTGGTGGTTTCTCTGAAAGCTTTTAACAGCTGCTTTTTGTCCTAAGTGTTACAAAACTTCACCGTGATGTTCCTTGTGAGTTTATTTTTTATCCATCTGTCTAGGCTTTCAGTGAGATGTTATTCTCAAGATGACTGGGAACTAATATGTAGTATTTTCTGCCATTTCTCTAGAGGTTAGCAGTGTTTGTCACTTAATAGGTATTTAGTAATTATTTGTTGAAGGAATCAAATGTTCAAAGATCCCTTACAACCTCTTTATATTATGCTCATTGTTCCTTGTGTCCATTTTGCCTTATTTATTCAATATGTAAAACTTTTAAACTACAAATAATCTTTATACATTATCAGTTTAGTTTACTGTGCCTATCTTCAGTTTTCATTTTGTTTTGTTTTTCCCAGTACCCAGGAGTTTGGATATGATTACACTTGATAGTTATATTCATATCTAAAACTAAAAGAAAACCCTCATGATATGGCATTTTTAAGGCAATTTTCCATTAGAAGATCATGTTATTATTTTAAATGTATGACATTTGCTTTCATTTGTAGACAAAGTGTGGAAAACCAATGACCATATGGAATGGCATCAAGAAAATCAAGGGAAGCTGGGAAGTACAGCAAAAAACTATGAATGCACTGCATTTGGAAAACTGTGTCTTCTTAGTACAAATTATGTTTCTTTAAGACAGAAACCTCATAGATGTGACGTGTATGGAAAGAGTTTGAAATATAATACAGGCTTCACCAGTAGTTATGATGGGAAGAATCCTAATGGACTTTGTGTATGCAAGAAATCATTTCTTCATTCTAAACACAAGCAAACTGTTGTTGGAATAAAATACTGTGAAAGTAATGAATCTGTAAAAACTGTTAATGGGAAGACACAACTTATGTGCCAACAAATGTATATGGGAGAAAACCCCTTGGGATACAGTTACTGTGAGAAAGCTCTCAACAGCAAGTCATTCCTTGTAGTGCATCGGCAAACTCATGCACAAGAGAAAAACTATGAATGTAATGAATATGGGAAAGACTTCAGCAGTAAATCATACCTTATGGTACATCAGAGAATTAATATAGGAGAGAAATTACTTGAATGCAGTGAGTGTGGGAAAACATTTAGTTTCAGTTCACACCTTGGTATACATCAGAAAATTCACACAGATGAGAATCCCTTTGAATGCTGTGAATGTGGGAAAGTCTTCAGTAGAAAAGATCAGCTTGTTTCACACCAGAGAACTCATTTAGGACAGAAACCCTATGCATGTAATGAATGTGGGAAGGCTTTTGGTTTAAAGTCGCAGCTCATTATACATGAAAGAATTCATACAGGAGAGAAACCATATGAATGCAGTGAATGTCGGAAGGCCTTTAATACAAAGTCAAACCTTTTGGTACATCAAAGAACGCATACAGGGGAAAAACCCTATGGTTGTAGCGAATGTGGTAAAGCTTTTACTTTCAAGTCACAGCTCATTGTACATGAGGGGAGTCACACTGGAATAAAACCCTATGGGTGCATTCAGTGTGGGAAAGCTTTCAGTTTGAAGTCACAGCTCATTGTACATCAGAGAAGTCACATGGGAGTAAAACCATATATATGCAGTGAATGTGGCAAAGCCTTTAGGAGCAAATCATACCTCATTATCCATACGAGGACTCATACAGGAGAGAAGCTTCATGAATGCAACGATTGTGGGAAAGCCTTCAGTTTTAATTCACAACTTATTATACATCAGAGAATTCACACAGGAGAAAGCCCTTATGAGTGCCATGAGTGTGGGAAAGCCTTCAGTCGGAAATACCAGCTCATTTCACACCAGAGAACTCATGCAGGGGAGAAACCCTATGAATGTAGTGACTGTGGAAAAGCTTTTGGTTTAAAGTCACAGCTTATTATACACCAGAGAACTCATACAGGAGAGAAACCATTTGAGTGTAGTGAGTGTCAGAAAGCCTTTAATACGAAGTCAAACCTTATTGTACATCAGAGAACTCATACAGGAGAGAAACCCTATAGTTGTAGTGAATGTGGAAAAGCCTTTACATTCAAGTCACAACTTATTGTCCATCAGGGAGTCCACACTGGAGTAAAACCTTATGGATGCAGTCAGTGTGAAAAAGCCTTTAGTTTGAAGTCACAGCTCATTGTACATCAGAAAAGTCACACAGGTGTGAAACCATATGGATGCAGCGAGTGTGGGAAAGCCTTCAGAAGCAAATCATATCTCGTTATACATATGAGAACTCATACAGGCGAGAAGCCACATGAATGCGGTGAATGTGGGAAATCCTTTAGTTTCAACTCACAACTTACTGTGCATCAGAGAATTCACACAGGGGAAAATCCCTATGAATGCAGCAAATGTGGGAAAGCGTTTAATAGGAAAGACCAGCTTATTTCGCATCAGCGAACTCATGCAGGGGAAAAACCTTATGGGTGCAGTGAATGTGGAAAAGCTTTTAGCAGCAAGTCATACCTCATTATACACATGAAAACTCATTCAGGAGAGAAACCTTATGAATGTATTGAATGTGGAAAAGCCTTCATTTGGAAGTCTCTGCTCATTGTACATGAACGAACTCATGTAGGGGAAAACCCTTATAAATGCAGTCAGTGTGAGAAATCCTTCAGTGGAAAGGTACGGCTCATTGTACACCAGAGAATGCACACAAGAGAGAAACCCTATGAATGCAGTGAATGTGGAAAAGCCTTCATTAGGAATTCTCAGCTCATTGTACATCAGAGAACTCATTCAGGAGAGAAACCCTATGGATGCAATGAATGTGGGAAGACCTTCTCTCAGAAATCAATTCTCAGTGCGCATCAGAGAACACATACAGGAGAGAAACCTTGTAAATGTACTGAATGTGGAAAAGCCTTTTGTTGGAAGTCACAGCTCATTATGCATCAGAGAACTCATGTAGATGACAAACATTGATAAATGCATGACACTTTCTAAAGTAAATCTTTAAGAGATACATACAAAATTACATGGGGAAGGAGAAACTGTAAATGGAATTACTTTGTTGTCCTCCAGAAAACTCATACTGATTAGATACTTTATGAATGCACTGCATATGCAGGGACATCATAGAGAATTGTTATTTATGTGCAGAAAGGTATTAGAAAATATACATAGGAACCAATGAATTTAGTAACTCATTAACATTTTCAGGAGCAAGTAGTACCTTCTTAGACAGTTTATACAGGCGAGGAACTATATGAATAAAAGTAAAATTGGAAAGCCACTTTATTATGAACTCATAAAGGAAACGATATAGCAAATTAATATAGAATAGACTCCTTTGATATTCATAGTTGACAGGATTTTAGTGAGAAATCACACAAACAATGAATTGCAGAGTTACTAAAATTATAAGCATTTTAGGTATCAGAAGCTCATACCCTGGAGAAATAATGCTATAAGAGAAAAGTTTCATCTATATTTACAAAACCCTAGGAAAAAAGTGTCAATATAGAAATGAAGATCTACAAACATATCAGATGATGTTCATCCTCAGCTGAAATGTTTATTATATATTAGAAAACTCATTCTAAAAATGTTATTTTAATTTTGAAAAATAGTTTCTTCCAGAAATTATTTTAAGCAAATTTATGTTCCAAGTGTTCCTAACTTATAGGAAAAGATTGGAGAAAATTCTCAAGTATAATTGATAATAAAATACAAAGTTTTATTTTAATGTATAAATAAATGTAATAATCAGCTTAATAATAAAAAAGTACATCCTAAGACCTACAGGGATATTTAGATATCTTCCTACATAATATGAACTTTGCCCAGTTTGGTATTTTACTTGTGAATGCCATATGCAAAACAAATCAATATGAAATTATCTCCCATGGATTTCTACTGTGCTTACCAACATTGTTTTATTGATTCTTACTAAATTTAAGTTGTTACTAGAATAACATGGCCTATTAAAAACACATTTCAACACTGCAAACATTTTCTGTATTATTTTCTATCCTTGGTAAGCAGTCTTGGCGGTCACCTCTATAGTAATCAGTGTAGTTCACATTTCATGTGTTTGTGTAGCCTCAAATCTATATTCACTGGTTAGAACATCTTAATTGCCGTTTAGATAAATTTTCTCTCATAGTGTGCAGTATGCAGTTGTGCTGGAAGCATAATTCAGGTTGGCCTGCCAAAGACTGGTTTTGATCACCAAGGGCTGAGTCATTTAGAACTTTAAACTTTTAATGGATTTTTTCAAGTGTGGAAAAGCAAACTAAGCCTTTGTTCTATGGTAGCATCTAGATGCAATTATTAAGTAGTTTTTTCTATAGAGATTTCCCAGAACAACTTTAGTTACTGTCATTTTCTTAACCTACCTGGTTCACTTATCTTAATTTGAGCAATTTAATGTCTTTTTAATACTGTCTTTGGTCAGGTTGGCTGCTGTGTGCTTCTGTTGCTTACAGCTTACTATGACTGCTTCAGAAATGAGTGCAAGAGAGAGGTGTAGCCAGAAGCTTGCAAAGATATATGGATATTTGGAAAAAGTTGTTTACCAAGGCAGGATTGAAATCTTCCAAGTCTCCGTATTCCATGGCAGAACTGGTGAAACTAGTTATGAATCATGCTTACTGAGGTTCTGGGGAAAACAGAAATTGCTGCCATAGAAAAAATTCAAACAGTAAGATTTCTAGATTGCAGTCAAGAGGTGATGGCCATGGATAACGTGGATAATGAACTCAAAACCTCAGTTCAGGATGGTGTGTTCAGTCAGTGGACTTGAAGTGATACAAATGACATGCTTACATATAGCTGGAAAGTCTGGGTAGTGAAAAATCATTTTGGCAGTTGTTTACTCACAAAGTCATTTTTTTCTTCACAGCCTCATCAAATTTCTTATGTGAATGAGCATCAATCTGGAGAGAGTAGGGCTCTGGCAATTAGATGAGGACTATCTTGGAGGAATATGAGGATTTGGGAAGCCCCATCTCTTACCCAATACAACTTTCTTCCTTGAAGGGGAGGAATTTAATGATTTCTGATTCCCTGATTTTTGTTGTATTCTGCTTTTTATACAGAATCCAATCTCATGATACCTAATGTGAAGAATGATGGTTCACAGAAGAGAATAGAAAGCTTGCATAAACAATTACAGATATTTGCTAAAGTATATCTCCAAATCAGGGAAATACTGTAAAGGTGTATTTTGCCTTTGATGTGCCAAGAAAGAATAAAATCTTTATTATTATTATTTTTTGATTTGGAGTCTCACTCTGTCACCCAGGCTGGAGTGTAGTGGCACACTCACGGCCACTCGAGTTGGCCTACTGGGCTCCAGCGATCCTTCCGCCTCAGCCTTCCAAGTAGCTGGAACTACAGGCACATGCTACCATACCACTCCTGGCTAATTTTCTTTTTTTTTTTTTTTGAGTTGGAGTCTCACTCTGTTTCCCAGACTGAAGTGCAGTGGCCACTCCCAGCCACTGCAGCCTCAACCTGCTGGGCTCCAGTGATCCTTCCACCTCAGCCTTCCAAGTAGCTGGAATTACAGGCATGTGCTACCACGCCCGGCTGATTTTTTGATTTATTGTGGAGATGAGGTCTTGCTGCCCATGCGGGTCTCGAACCTGCGGGCTCAGGCAATCCACTCACCTCAGCCTCCCAAAGGCGTGGGATTACAGGCTGAGCCACCAAGCCCGGCAATTTTCTAGTTGCCATAGAGATGAGGTCTTGCCAAGTTGCCTGGGTTGGTCTTGAACTTGCGGGCTCAGAAAATCATTTTTAAAAAGTCTGTATTTCAGGTTGCTAATACCCAGGGTTGGTTAGATTTTAGTTTGTTGTGTTGTCTGATGCAGATCCACATGCAACTTTGCCCAGTAGAAGTCAGAAATATTGACAGCCTGTTGAGGCTGGCAGTCATACACTATGGGAGAGAATAATGCTGAATTAGGGCTTTTTTGTTTGTTTTTTATTTTTGAGTTGGAGTCTCTGTCGCCCAGGCTGAAGTGCAGCGGCATGCTCCTGGCCACCCAGCATCGACCTGCTGGGCTCTGGCGATCTTTCCGCCTCAGCTTCCAAGTAGCTGGAACTACAGGCATGCGCTGCCATGCCTGGCTAATTTTTTGATTTATTGTAGAGATGACGTCTGCCAAGGTGCCTTGGCTGATCTCGAACCCATGGGTTCAGGCAATCCATTGGCCTCAGCCTCCCAAAGTGCTGGGATTACAAGCTGAGCCACCAAACCTCGCCTGAATTATCTTTTAATGTTCTTAACTGAAATGAAAAATTTGCCAGATAAATGAAACATAATAAAGTTGATCTGCAACCAGTAAACAAAATAAATAGGAAATGAATCACTGGCTTGTAAATCAACTTAGTCTCTCTACCCCTACCCCATACCCAGAAAAGAAAGACATTCCAGAAACTTTCAGGAATAGTCATTAGTTATAAGGAAAGCCAAGGAAAGACAACCCCAACATTTCACAACTTTCCCATCAAACAGCTATTTGGGAGAAAAAAAGTGACTTGCAACTACGTATGTGGACATAGATTTTAAAAGTCTAAACATAATTAACAAAAAAAAAAAGTCACGACATAATTAGGCTTAGCAGTCTATGAGTCTGCTAACAGGAAATCTTCCCAACATACTAATGTGGACCCAATATTCACCTACAGCATCACTGTATTATTTTAAATGGCAGTATATCCACTTAAAAACCTATAATTTTTACTGTGCATGACCCTGCTACTAGTGGAAATGGAAGTTGTTGAGAAGGTCTATTCGGGAGGTTCCTTACATAGAAAACAGACAACTAGAGAAAGCCCCCTTGTATCTTTTTTTTTTTTTTGAGTTGAAGTCTCACTCTGTCACCCAGACTGGAGTGCAGTGGCTGCTACCAGCCACCCCAGCCTCAACCTGCTGTTGAGGAATAAGGGGGGAAACAAACGTGTGCCAACAAATGGAGAGATAGACCTATACCGAAACAGATAAAAACAATAGATCACAGCTACTGACGAACCAACTCCCATGAAAAAAAATAAAACATATAGTGATGCTAACATACAAGTTAGCCAACAACCTTATTGGTGTGCTGTTCTATACAAAGATATGGCTAACAGAGAGAAGAAAAGAGAAGAAAAGGAAGAGGAAAAAAGGAAAAAAGGAACAATACAGTAGGAATAGAATTAAGTCATTAAACTAACAATCAATGAAGCACACTCTGAGACCTTTCGTTTAAGTCCAATGTCCTTTTAGGTCTGATTCCTAGTTTTCTTTTCAAGCTGGTAAATTAGTTTGCAGTTAGGGTCAGTTGCCCCTGGTCTGCTGTGAAGGACAGTTCCGATCACCCTCCGTTCACCACTCTGGCCTATGTCCTTTTCAAGCTTGTTTCTCCCATTTCGGTGTTGTTACCTTGAATCGCCAGCAGGTGGTGCTATCTCAGCTGCTTGCCCCAGAGGGGGCGGGGCTGGACAGGAACCGGCAGAGACTGGAGATTGTGCCTGCCTCAGGGCATAGCCAGGAGACTCACGGTGGGTAGGACGTCTCGGTGGCAGGAGAGGTGGCAGCGATCCCAGCAGATCTTCCCTGAAGGGGCTTCAAGGACTGAAGTTGTGGATCGCCTCCGGCCCGGGTGGTGTGATGTGCTACCAGCAGCGGCGGCAGTGGCTGTGGTGGCTGTGGCTGTGGCTGCGGCGGCTGCGGTGGCGGCAGTGGCGTCTGCACTGCAGTCGCTGTCCAGTCTGCTGCGATGCCCCAGCGGTGGCAGTGAAGAGCAGGCTGCGATTTTGGGGTCCGCAGCCCCCGGGGCGAGAGCCAGAGACCCACTGCAGTTCTTCTTTGCAGAGGGTTTCATAGACCAGGTTGCCCCGTCACCATCTTCATTGTAAACATTTTTAAATGTACACTTCAGTGGCAAGAAGTGCATTGCCACTATTGTGCAGCCATCACCGCTATCATTTTACATTCCACCTACAGTGCACAGTTTCCAGTTTCTTCACATATTTTCTAATACTAGTTTATTATAACCATTCTAATGGACGTGAAGTGGTATTTCATTGTGGTTTATTTTCGCTTACCTAATGGCTAGTGATAAATATATTTTCTGTACTTATTACATTGGGTTTGTCAATAATTTATTGGATATGACACCAAAGACACCGGAAAAAAATAAGAAATTAATTGGACTTAATCAAAATTAAAAGCTTTTGGGATCAAAGACACTATAAAGAAAGTGAAAAAAAAGCCAACAGGAGGAAAAAATTATAAATTATATGTTTGATAAGAGGCTAGTACTGAGAATATATAAAGGACTCGACAAGAAAAAGTTAAGCAACCCAATTTAAAAATAGAGGAGTTGAAGAGACAAAAGATACAAAAATAGAACATAAAAAATGCTTAACATCACTAGCCATTATGGAAATACAAATCAAAACTGCAATGAGATAACACTTCACATTTATTAGGATGTCCATCATTTAAAAAAGCAAACAAGAAATTGACAAGTGTTGGCAAAGAAGTGGGGAAATGTGAAAACTGTGGTTCTGCAAAAAGCTAAATATAGAATTATAGAATCCAGCAATTCTACTCCCAGATATATACACAGAATAGTTGAAAACAGACGTTTAAACAAAAACTTGTATACGAATCCCCATAGCTGCCCTATTCACAACAGCAAAAAGGTGGAAACAACCTAAATGTCCATCAATACGAATGAACAAACAAAATGTGATACTGACATACAATGGAATAATATTCATCCATAAAAAAGACTACTACTTGCTACAACATGGAGGAACCGCAAAAACATGCTGAGAGCCCAGCATGGTGCACATGGTTGTAGTTCCAGCTACTCAGAAGGCTGAGATGAGAGGCTTACTTGAGTCTGAGAGTTTTAATCCAGTCTGGGCAACACAGCAAGATTTCATCTCTAAAATAACATAAAATAAAACATTA